CCCGTTCGAGCCCTTATACTGCGCCAGCGCCATTAAGTAATGTCTCGTCACCCTTACTAACTTCCTATAGTCCTTTGAATGCAACATCGTTTATTGATTCCACGTCTGCCCTTCAAAACCACGATTTAAGTTATCGCGCTATTTCTCATAATCCGAAAAATTTGTCTTACTCTTCTTCTTCCCAATCGAATTCAAATATCATGAATTTTGGCACAGCATTCATTTCATCGTCATCAGCACCACCTCCCAAATCAATATCATTTCCTATTGATACCTCAATAACCGCCACATTGAGCGAATCTGCTTCAAATAAGATGAATTTGATGAGTTCATCTATGTTAAACTCGATTTTGCCACCGATAACTATGCAGCACAATTCAAACCACTTGTCTAGCCAGCAGACTTCTATCTGCATCCACCCTATTCCCGAAAGATCGGCAAGTCTTGGCATCGCTGAGACTGGCCACACATGTGGTCGGAAGCTCAAAGAGACCTGTGTAAAATTCGCTCCTCAACGAGCAATAGATCACAATGGCCATTTTGTTGCAGGTACTTTTGCTAATTTTACCTTTGGATATAATACCAACCACATCAGCACTGAATTTGGCACGCGTTGCTGGCCATATCTCTATTGTTGCTTTAGCTGTTTGGTTACTGTTTTTTATATCTTATACGCCGTCCGAACCGGTTGCTTTTCCAGCTATCGTGTGTCACCTTAATCAACTCTCTTCTTAATCTAGTCTCTTGCGGAACAAGCCTCAAACGGATATAAAACGGACAGCTCAGATAGCAAGTAATATGACTACTATTTCGCTAACCAACTCTACTTCTGACTTGTTTAGTGCTGCCGATACATCTTTTTTTTTCAATTTAAAATTTACATATAAGAGGGCCTGCATTTTCCTAGGTACTTGATGAAGCTTTTAGGCGTCAATTAGCTTGCTTTGGTGAGCACTTGGAATTCGTGTTAAACAGAGATATCAGGTCAGCCGATTCCTGATGTTAATATTTACACTGAAGCACAATTATTCCCAGAAGCCTCCTCTTATGTTTAGCCATTTGACTTGCGTGTTAATAGTAACAGGTCTAAAAGTGTCACGGAGATGTAATTAATTGTAGTAAGAACGAGTAGTTATAGGTTACAAAAATACCCCCATAGAGGCTAGCCAGGTTGGATAGTTTTAAAAGCGAGTATTTGAAAGCAGTATATCAGTATAACAGATAATTGTATGGTTATTTACCAGGAACACCAATGAAAGCGTTATGAAATGGCTGAAAATGCCATGTGACGAAACTTAACGTTGTAGTGCATAAGATTATGGTCGTATTATGATAGTTATTTACCCTATTTCCTTTATGGTGATGAATGACTGGTATTAGAATTTTCCCACAATGCCATGACCAGAGCTCAAGTTTCTATTGAATTTTACATAGCCTTGCTTTCCCAAAAGTTGTTCTCACCCAGGTGGGATTGGAGTTTTGAAATTCCTCGAAATTCGCATCTACTCTGTGACCCAAAAGCACTGCTGGCAATGTGGCAGAGTGGTTAACGTGTTAACCTCACATTTTGCACTGTCACGATTAGAATCCG